TAAATAGAATTTTGACTAATTTTCATTGACCAAACTAAAAATCAATATTTATTTACACACCTTTGTGGATTTCCAAATACGTATAGCACTTAGATTACTTCACTAGCCCTAAAGTGATAAAGATATTTGACTCCCTTTCCTTCTTCCTCGTAACACTTGACAGTAACTCTGTGTTTTCTGTTTTGTAGGCCACAATTGTTTATCCTGTATATATTTTATGTTCTGTTTTAGTAAATTAAATATTTGTTTGTGATTTAGCTCTGTGTTGTGGTAAATCATTTTTTTTTCCTTTGTTACAATTATCAACATGTAACAGTACCATCATCCATAAAATGGGTCCAAGCTATGTTGGTGTCATAAGTAGAGTTGGTCAGTTTGGCAATTTATGTTTCGGTTTCTTTCTCTTTTTTTTTTGTCCCCCCCCCCCTTGATGCCGCAGTTTTCGGTTTGGTTTTTAATTTAGTAGTTTTGCTTTCTAAGGAAGCCATTCATTTTCATGTGTAATGATAGCATTTCCAGTCGATATTTGATTTTGTTTGAGACTGATAAATTTGAAACTTAGTCCATTCAAGTTGCAATATCTTGTGTATTTATAGTTCAATCTTAAAAATGTTCATATGGCTGGAAAGAAAATAATCTTTCTGAATATGTAATTTGTATGTGCTTTTTCATTGAAGTATTTTTTTTTTTACAGAAAACAGTATCTTGCATCGACCAGCCAAAAATGCAAAAGATTTATTTTATTTTTTATTTTGAGAAAAAATTTTACATGTTACTTTGTTTTACAAAATCAAAGTGACCAATCTTTATCAATATTCTTGAAATTGTATACTTGATTAGAAGACACCTTAAACTACAACCAAGATGATGTTCATTTCTCTGACCTGAGGAAGCGAATTCCATCAAAAATTATAAAGTAAGCCAAAAAAAAAAAAAAGGGAAAACCAGCTGATGTAAATGTGGTAAAAGAACATTCAAATTATTGAAACTACTGTCTGACACTAACTAGTAGCTAAAAAAGAATAATTTTTAGTTTGGGTTTTTAAAAAAAAAAATGACTTGAAGTTTTGAAAATATACACATTTTAAAACTTTATTTTTTTAATATTTAATTTTTGGTGTATTCACTAGATAGAAACATAATTTGTAGAAAACAAACAATTTTACACTAGAGACTTGCATATCTGGAAATATACACATTTTAAAAATGAAATTAGGAATTATTTTAATTATTCTCAATATCTAATTCAGGTGCATTCCCTAGATAAAAAGCAAATTTATTTATAAAAAAAAAAAAAAACTCCTTCATTCATTTTTCTGGTTTACAACAACTTTTTGTGATTGGCGTACATTGGCTTACTAAGAAAACAATTATTACCCTTACAAAAAAAAACAACCTCAAAACTTAACATTAACACAAAACTGGCAACTATTTTTATTTTTTATTCGCTATTTTGTTAACTTAATTTTACTGCAAATTTTTTTTTTTTTTTTAACTAGTTTTTGACTAGTTTTAGGAAATATATGTGAAATCTATTTGTTTACAAAAGAAATGAAGAAAAAAAAATACATGTATGAGATCTATTTGAAACAAATAGATCTCATACATGTATTTTTTTTCTTCATTTCTTTTGTAAACAAATAGATTTCACATATATTTCCTAAAACTAGTCAATTTAAATATGTTTAACATTTTTGTTCAATCTTTTTCTCTTACAATGGTATAAATGTTGATAAAATTTAATTTTATTAACATCTGAAAGTCTTTTTTAATAGTGTTTCTTTGGATATGGTCACTCAGTAGTGATAGCAGTAAACAGTCATTTTGGTTTCATAAAAAATTTTGATGCAATTTCATGGTGTGATGATGAAACAAAGTCTGTTTTCGGTTAAACCACTCATCTCTAATCATAGATGATAGTGGATTCAGCAGCAAGAAAAGTATCTACCTATAAACACTTCAGACCCCCTTAAATACCAAAATTCCATAAGCAGTCTTGGAATCAACAATGAATAAATATATTATGGAGTAGTAGCAGAACCTATGGAACTTCTGCCCAAATAATAATATGCAAAATTAAACCAACTAAAGGTGAATGGCATCAGAAACATCAAACTAGAAAAGAAGTGATTATGTCCAGGATCCATATTGGACGTACTACCATAACCCAATTGTATATCCTAAAAAAAAAAAAAAGGAACATCCTCCGGTATGTGTGCCATGCCAAGAACCATTTACCATAAAACACATGACATCAAACTGCAGCAATTTTAATTCAATTTGCTTAAAATACTACCAAACAAGAAACTTAGAATTTTTTCAAAATACTGATTCACGTAATATATTCCAGTTTCTAAGGGAAACTAAAATGATCTCGTATATAAATATAATTTTAAAAAATATAACCATTACTAATAGCAGTCTTACTATTTAAAAAAAAATTTAAGGCTTTATTTAGGAAAAAACAAATTTCAACCTTAAATGACCATATATAAACTGGGTACCTCCACAGATTCATGATACCTAACATTTAAAATGAATTTTTAAAAATGAGAAATCTTTCTTGAAGCTTTTATTTTAGTTTTAATTTCATGCCAATAGATTAAATATATTTCCAGTAAGCAAAATACTTTGCTGTATTTCAAAACTAAACTAAATTAAATTGATTGGAAGGCGTTTTCATTTTGAATTTGCTAAAATAGCTGATTTTTACACCATTTTTAGCCATCCATCATCACAATGTATTCCTCTTTATTAAAAAATATTTCAAAAATAAAATATACTTTTCTGAAAATTTGAGGAATATTAGCTGATTTATAGTATAATCAATCTAATTTGCAACATTATTTACTTTGTTTAAAATGTTCCACAAATCCACTTTTTTAAAGCAGTAGTTTGTTTAAATTTGATGACAATTTTGTTTTATTGGGGCTCTAGGTGTAAAAAAAAAAAAAATAAATAATAATAATAATTGAATATAATGTACACTTTTTATATATAATTTTTAAGTACTCAGTAATCTTAAATATTTATGAAAATATTCTCCATAATCTGATGTTTTATTGACTTTTAGTACTCCCACTTATTTAATTTTATGAAATTTAGAGAAATTATTTTTTGTATCACTTTGTTAAATTATGACAAGTTCTTGTGGAATTTAAATCCTCTTTTTTTTTTTTTCTTTTTTTTTAATCAAGACCCCAATTAAAGAAAATCTAATTGTAAAATAAAAATGCAATAAAGGCATTATTTAATTACAAACGCTTCTAATTGATTAAAATATATAAAATACTGTTATCTTGGGGGGGGGGATTCTATTAATTTTTACACAAATTGCTTTCATTTTTTTAAATTTTGATTAGAATAAAATTGTGTATTTCTAGAAGTCAAGTGATATTGTTATTAAAAACACTATATACTAATCATAAATGGAAAAGCTTACTACAGTTTAACAACCAAAATATTTTAAAAAGTATCTAGTGCAGAACTGACAACACATTTTCAAAGAGCTGAATACAGAGTTGGTGCACAGTGTGCCACAAGGTCTCCACCAGTTGCCACCAGGCTATAGGACCCAGTCTGTACTGCTATTTACCCATGTATGTGTGAATGAGACAAGATGAACCCTTTTGTCTATACAGTGCATGCTAATAAATTGTATAACATAGCTCTAGTATGAATTGATGAAGAAGGGTTAAAAGTAATACAAGGACCCCCCCAAAAAAAAAAAAAGTGTTAAATTGAAATAGACAAGAATGATAAGTTGAGTAAATAAGGAAATTATTGGGAAATTCTCCATATAAGCAGGAAAATGGGAGTTTAGTCAGTCTCAGCATTTGCGAAGTCTTGCAGTTATTGGCAGCCAACCTCACCACCCAACAAGTTGTTTGTTTGCCCAGGTCTACAAGTTGAACTTTATCAATTCATACAAGTTGACCACTTACCTTGTAGTGAGTCAGTACTAAACCTATTTGTTCAATTGTTAACTAGAGTTCTCTGGCTCTTTCAAGAAGACCGACTTTCCTTTGCAGCTTTGAGCACACCCCCAAAATATTACCACATGTCATACAATTGATTGAGATTCGATTTTTGGTTTGATTTCAATTGGTGGGTGCACAACACTAAGATGATCCAGCAGACAGATTGAGAGCAGAGGTCTTCATCTGATCTGCAATTTGTGACACTAATGCCCTGAACTGGAAAAACAACAGAAGAAAATCTAACAAGGTCCTGAAATTATCCAGAATCTCTAGCTGACAATGATTGCATATACTGGACACAGCTATACGTGAGTGAGCACTGGAACACATTGTTGAGAGAGGTGTGTGTGTATACACACACACACACACACACACACACACACTTTCCCTGATATTTTAGCAAATATTTGAAAACATTTTGTTTTCATTTCAGAAATATATATATATATATATATATATATATATATTCTAGTTGTGCAATTTTTTTTTTTTTTTTTTTTTTTTTTTTTTAAGAAAGTGTTCATTACTTAGCAACTTTTTATTGTGGCTATTCTAGTGAGGCAGATTTTGAAGTATATGAAAATTACTCGGTACACTGAAGTTAGGATATTGGACATTTTATTTGAATTGTGGAAGATGAAATTTACAGTTAGGCACTTAAACTGAAATTGTATTTCCTCTTCACTGACTGAATAAACTTTGTTATATGTAAAATATGAGAAATTTAACAAATAGGATCTTTTTTCTTTTTTTTAACTAGTCTGGTTAATTTTTAAGATCTGTCAATCTCTCCATACTCTGTGGTCATATTTAAAATTTGCACAAATCTTTAGATAAGATAACACATGGATGAAGTTATTTGACTGAGTGAAGCTTGTCACCTTTAGCCCATGATGAGTTTATGGCGAGTATCCAAAGAGTTAGTCACTATTTCTTATGTAAATGTTCCTTAAAACTTGTAATTTGCCTAAAATTGATCTCTAGTAATACTTCACTTTTTTTTCTTTTAAAGACTCAACCATGTCTTCAACAATCCCAATAGCAGACCCTGAGCAATTAGAAGTTTGTCCCTATGATGCTTCACACAGAGTGCAGAGCAGACGTATGGTGTATCATTTAGAGAGATGTCGCAAGGTAAATAACTTTCAAGAATTTAATTCCACCTGACTTAATTTGAGAAATTTTTCATCCTTCAATGTGTAACCTAATGTCATCTGTTTGTAATAAAAACAGTTTTTATTTGGCATGGTGAGTCATTCACCCAGAATCTGTAATTGTTTGAAAATTTTGGCAAAAAATGTATTTTGTTACAATAGGTTCTCAAATTCTTGGAAAATACTATATTGAGAAAATAGAAAATTATTCCATTTGTAATTAATTTTAACTTAATATTTTGCTTCACAAAGGTTAAATGAGAAATTGACCTCTTTGTTTTAAAAACCTTCTGAACCTGAAAATGTTCTTATAATTATCAAATACTTTTTATTTTTGTTTCTACATTTTTAAAAAGGAAAAAACCCATTGGCTATAGTTTAGGTATGTGATGGGTTTTGACTAAAAAATCCAGAATATAGGCTTTGGTATAAAAATAATTTCAATTTGGTTTACTTGAACTTTGATTTTATCATTTTTTTTTTCTTATTTTTCAATAGGTTTTTGTTGGGCAGAAGAAAACCTGTCCTTTTAATGGCAAACACAGAGTTCCAGCCCCAGAACTGAATTATCACATGAGCAATTGCCCAGACAAGGCAATGATTGATCAAGATTTGCAATACAGTAAAATGATTTTTGATTATTTTATTTTATTTTTCTTTTTTTTAAGCACTTTTTTGAACTAATGAAATTAACCTGACAGCTTTCAATATTTATTTTACTCATTTGGACATGGGAATGATGACTTCATCATTTAACAAAAGAATATTTTTTTACTGAAGCACCTTTTTGTAAAATGTAGAAAAATAGACTTGTTATAGTTCTGATGTGCAAATAAGCTTTGTACAAAATAGTAGAATGAAAATAACTGCTTCTTAGTAGAATTGAAATCATTTACCAGATTTACTTAAATTAAGAGAATGATTTGACCCCAAACACAAAACTGAGAATCTTATTTTTGTTACCTATATTTAAATACTTTCTTACCATTTTCAAGTTGAAAGATTTTTCCACTTTTTTTCTCTTGGTACAAACAGGAAAGCACTACTTGCGACTTCTTATCATTGGTATTTACTAATCAAAATCTTGTTTATCGATACTTGTGTGTGTGATGTTATGACTTTTTTTTTTTTCACTTTCTTTCTCAGGTGGAATGAAACAAAGTGGATTAATTGATGATGCACCTTGTGGGGACCTGAAAATTCCAGATGATGATTTTAACATCTCCAGTGAAGAATGTTGGGAATCTGGTTTGTAACCTATATATACCAACAGAATTATTGTATGATTCTCTCTAAAATTAACATGAATATATTGAGAAAAAAAAAAATTGAGAGCCTTACCTGCATACTAGTTCTTGGAGAGATTCATATCTCCCAAGACACTAGCAGATTTGAGAATCAGATTCAAATGTGTATTTGTGCATGCACCTTCTCAGTTTATCATGAGAGAATAAAAAAATCTCCAATGACACTTTTGCAGTGCAGAAAAAAATAAATAGAACAGTATAATTTCTTCTGTATTCAAAGTTTAAAAATATAATTTATATAAATTATTATGCAATTCATTCTCATTTTAGTTGTGTATGTGTTTAAATATATTTTCCTAAATATTTAACCTAATTTAATTCATAACTAACAGTTTTTAAAAATTCAAAAATTTATGCTTTTTAAATTGGAAGTTTCTTCTGAACAAGAATCACAAATTTGTCTGTTTTGCTCTGTTTTCCAGAAATTGATGAGAATCAAAGTCATTTCAGACTGGGGCGAAAAAGAGTAGACAGGTAAGCTTTTTGTATCTAAAATATGTGATTTCTATCTTTATTGCTCAATGTTTGAGTAATTTCAGTATTTGAAGAGATTTTTTTTTCTCTCTCTTTCTCTCTAAGGATTTTTTATTAGAGGAACTTTGGATGAATTTTCTGGTAGGAAAGGGGATTTCAGGCATTCAATCTCAGAATTAAAAAAAATTTAACTCTTGAAATGGCTTGTTGATTTATAACTGTTTCACTATAGTTCTGTAATTTTCAGATGTTCTTTAAAAACTTGCCTGCAAGCATATTGCTGCTCTAAAATGTCTCACTCTTAAACTAAATTTTTAATTTTTCTTTATCTAGCATGACATTCACCATTTTATTTGACTATCATAAGTACTCTGCCTTTCTCAGGTTTCTAAATACAATTATGTGAGTTCATAATACTTTGCATCAGTTGCTGACAATCTTCACTTGATCTGAGAAAATTGTATCAATCAGAAATGTTGCATCCAAACAATCTGGAAAATAGTTCGTTTTCACCGTTTATAAAAATTTGTAAAACTGAGCATAAACAAATAGGATAAAAACAAAAATAATGAAATAAAATGGACCTATTTACTTACAAATCGACATAAAGGAGGCAGCCTTTATTATACACAGATTTTAGTATTGAAATCTAACCTACATGACCCCCAGTAAATTAATACAATCCAAATAATTGTACTTTTACAGGATCTTGACTTTATCTGCAAAATGTCACCATGAAAATTTGGATCTAAATTTAAATGTTTAAATAATTTGCTTTAATTTAATATAATTTCAGTAAAATTTATAGAATTGCTAGCTTCAGATGAGCAGAAAATATCCTCTAGGCAATGTAAACAAACTTAACATCAGGACTATCTCTCTCTCTTCTTTCCTCTACCCGTAAGATCCCAGTGGCCTATATATTTGTTTTGTATGCTGCCTTTAGTTTAAAAGTTTGGTATGAAAGAAAGTATATTAATTTTATATTATTGGTTATTACTTTAGTCTTTGAAGTCACTATGTGATTGTAGGTAGTGTAGGAATTTGTTTCAGTGATTGCATTTGGAATTGAACTCTGATCTTTTTGTTTAGAAGTTTATAATGTTCTGGAAAGGTGATTATTTTTTCCTTTAAGCAATAGTTTTATTATTTTAAGCTGTTGTAAGTTGGTGTTTTTCTTATTTTCCATTTTGTTTTTAATGGGTTTCATTTGATTTTTGAGGTTCCATATAAGAATGTTATGCTATGTGCATATATATATATATATATATATATATATATATATTTTTTGTTAATTGTTTTTTATGAATATTTATTTTATAAGCATGTAGAGCAATTGTAATTTAATGTCTAATAAATGCTATTAATTTTTTTTTTAATAATGTTATTATTATTTACATTATTAAATCATCATTTATATTAAATCTGTACTGCAGATTTTTTCAAAGATCTCCTTTCCTAAAAGAAATACTCCTTTCCCAAGCCAACATACATGACTATTTTTTTAAATTGAAAGAAAACAGTTAAATTTAAAACATTCTATTATTTAAAATATATAATACATAAATTAATCAAAGTAAAACAATATAAATAATTACATTATAAAAAAAAAAGTTCAATAACATTTACATATTCATTTATTAGACATTAAATTATATCACTTAGCATCATCCATGATTTATATTGACTTCCAGTTAGCCTGTAGTATATTTATGAACATTCTTAAATTTAAGAACTCTGAACAACTAACAACATTTTTACTTGTTTATAAATCCTTACATTTGTCCATCAGTTAATTTTTCCTTTTGGTCTTTATTCATATTTTCCATTTAGAGATGCACTTTAGTTATATCTGAAATTTTACACACACACATGCGCGTGTGTAGGTTTTGAAAAGTTCTTGGTTCTACCAAGAAGGAATGCAAAAAAAAAAATAAAAAAATAAATTTGTCATTTGGTCAGATTTTGCTAAGTAGGTCTAGCTGAGAAATCTGTCACATATATATATACCACACAAAATTTGTACTGCAATTTTGTATGCAAAATTAGTTCCTTTGAATTATGGAAACAAATCTTGTAAAATGAGTTGACTCTCTGTTCATCACACAACTGTTTTTGTTAATTTGTGTGTACATATGTGATAATGGTAATATTGTTTCCTTATAAGGAAACATTTAGCATTCATTGATTGAGCAGTCAGAGCTACTTTCGGTTCAAATTTACAAAATCTTTTTAGTCAAACGAAACTTCTGGAAAATGGGTTTCTCAAATCCAGTAACTTAACCGCATTTCCCAGTATTGATGGGAGTTCTTCTTTTAGATAGAATTATCTTGAATCCTATTTCTTGAGACACTTGGTAAAGGATATTGATTTCCTTTTCTTTTTTTTTTTCTTTTCTTTTTTTTTGGCTCAAGATTATTCTTATCCCAATTATGAATACCTGTCATTAGCAAAACTCCTGATGAGGTTTGAAATGTTTCAGTATTGGGTTCCTTGCCTGATATGTAATATTTTGCAGATTGCTAATTTCCTCTGTCAGATCTATACACATTCAGTGGAATCAGAGCTTGGAAGGCAGATTCTAATGGGTGAGAAGAGGAAGTCCTCTATTGATGTGGGCATATGCTGCTGTGACGTCAAGATTGCAGGTATGCAATTTTCTATTGGAGAGTTATGTCATTCCTTGGAGTTGTTTGAAGACATCATTACACCCCTTACCAAAATGAAAGCCAAATTGGGTTATGAGGAGTTGACTTTCATACAATAGTGAGAGCCTAGGTAATACAATGTTCATTAGTACTTCTGCCATAATAAATCCAGTTGTATTTGCTATCTGCATCCTTCTTCATTTGTATAGAAATATACACATTTCATCATGAGTGTTCTAGAACTGACTTTTTCCTTACCTTTATTTTTTTTATTTTGTTTAGATGACTAATTCACTACTAATTTCTCTTCAGTATAGTGATCATTTCTTTGATAACCTGCAAATGAGAGTAGTAGTACCTTTTTTTGTGTAGGACACAATACAAAAACAAAGCCTGTAGTGTTTTATTAAAATTCTTTTAACAGTTCAACTATACCCAATAACTCGCAGAAGGCTGAGCAGCTTCGGCTTCCTTCGTTTACTTCTGCTGCCACTACCAATGCTCCCGTGTACCAATTTAGTACAAGGAACCTTCATGGCACAGGTAGAGGTAGAGGGCGAGGTAAGTACTTTTCCCCTATACACGTTTCTTCTGCTATTTTTGCCTATCATTCAAGAACAGTATTTCTCCTCTCAGCTAAATATAAGCAGCTGAAGACAATATTCTATAAATTTTTACTATGAAAATTTCAAAAACAAAGTCAAATTGTGTTGAAATGTTTGAACAAAATTTTATCTAACCTTAACTTTTGTCTTCTGAAATCACTTGAATTTTTGTTAGTTTGCTAAATGAAGCTGGCACATTTACTGTCCAGTGACATAAAGCCTTGTAAAATGAATAATTTAGCCCTTTTCATCAATATGCTCTATTCATGGGCTTTTGTCCTATTGTTAGTGCTCTTGGGGGAAAAAATAATTTATTGGTATATTTAAAAGAAAATAGCTATAATAACTATACAATCATGTTGACCATGTTCACTAATTTTATTGGATAAGTTAATAGTATTTGTTTTTTGGGAGGGGTTTCTCCCCATTTCAAGGATTTGATTTTGTGACTTCATTTAGAAAATACTTTTGACAACATTTCTGTTGTTATACTTATTAAAAAAAAAGAAAAATCATGAAAGTTGTTCAATTTTTTTTGTGTATTGATTCTACATTGAAGATTAGGAACATTTGCTGAATGATGGCTTTACAGTTGGGAAGACCAGTTGAGGCTGATGAAATTAAAAACTTATTTAAAAAATAACATTATACAACATGGAAATAGTTAATAAATATTACACCAGCTTGATTAGTGTTGGTTACTTTATGAAAGGTTCATTGTGTTGTTCTTTTGGGTTATTTTTGTTGTTTTGTTTTTTTTTTACCCCCCTGATCTGTAATCTTGTTGCAAAATTGAATGCAACTTATATATAAAAAAAAAACAAAAAACTATTCAGTAATATTAAATTATTCAGGTTTAACAAATTTATATAAAGTTATATCATTAAAAAGAGAAATAGGGGAGAAAAATGATATAAAAAAAAAAAGTTGATTATAATCATCTAATGGATAAAATTATAATGTTTGTTTTACAAGAGTTAGACAATTCCTAGTTGCTAAAAATTTGCACCCACCACATCCTTTGAAAAACAAAAAAAAATAAAATTTTGTCTTTTTTGAAATCTTGGCAAATTAGGTAGAAAGTTGAATCAATTCATTATTTGTTCAATTCTATATTCAACCCTTATATTTCACTCATAAAAATTAAAAAAAATCCTTATTTGATGCTAACTGAAAAAAATGCTGTTGAAAATGATACTCAGATTTTATTTTAAAATTCAAACCTATTTTGATCCTTAGAATCTATGATACAGTGAATTTAATATATTCTTTTTGTATTATTAGAAATTTTCAAGTTCCCATGTTTTTGCTAAACTTAAATTCTTATTTTCTGCATATTGTTTTTAATAGCAGGTATCATAATTGAAGGCTTTATTAAAAAATGGAGCTGCTTCTTATCTACAACCCATCTTGATAAAAAGGGGCCACCTTCTCTCATGCATAATGCAGGCTGTCAAAATTCGTCTTATAAGAATCCTCTAAAAATATTAATCCTATTTAATAAATATTTTTTCTAAAAATCCTATAGCTCTATTTTAATGGCTATTGCAGAGAGCTCTAGTTTTGTCATCCAAGATTCAATTCAATACTTCTACTGACCAAATAGCCAAGCCACTCTCCAAACATTTGCAGCATATCACAAGGATGTTAGTAATAATTTCAAATGGGATTGTTATTGTGTAATATCAAATAATTGAAACATGCAGGGCCAGTACTAGGGTCTTGCCTCCCATTTACTATGTTGATTTCAAAGTTTCTCAACCTGGGGGGCCACAGACCCTCAAAGGAAAATTGGGGACTTAATTAAATTGCTTAAAAATGCTGTTCAGATATGGGGAAGATACTAATATTGTAGAAAAGAATGTACATTTTTTAAATTTTAATTCATAAATGTTTTTAAATTAATCTCTGCTTAGATGTCTTATGTGCCTCTGAGTTTATTGTTTTATTACTTCTGGTAAGTAGGTCTGTGCAGTTGGAACACAAAATCTTTGATTCCGACTCCTATTTTTGGCACCTCTGACTCTTCTTTATGTAATTAAGTGATTATGGCCTACAAATTTCATAAAGCCTATGCATATGCTCTTAACTTGAGTTGGCCTATTACAGTATAACTGGTTTATATCAAAGAATAAAGATATTGTGGCTTTTATATCATACCTATTCATTCTTTGATATTTTTTTCTAACACAATTAGAAACAAAATCTTTGAAGAAAGGATATAGAAGAAATAAAAATAAAAATACTGTAAGATTTTTTACATATTTCTTATTTGCAAAGATATATATAAGTACAGAACAAAAATAAAAGTACTTTATAACAGAAGTTGAAATATAATCTTTTATAGGATATAAGACAATAAAAATTCTATAAGGTTTTTTACATGTATAGTTTTGCAAATACAAAATAACTACCAAAAATTAAAATGACCTTAAAGAAGTTGAAATAAATTTCTTTAAAGGAAATAATAAATATACATTAGAAAAAATAAAAATTCTATAATGTAAGACTTTTTATATAAAGTGTAAATTCAACTGGAGTTAGTCGGTATAGCTTTACTGAATCTGCCTCGTCAGTCATGTATCGAAAGATACATGATTGCCTAAGCATGTATCATGCATAGCACAAAACTGACTGATTACTATTAGTAAAAAAGAAAGAATCAGAGATCCTCCTTAATGGATAGTCTCAGAATAAAAATGATTTTACCAAGATATATTACCCTCTTAATTGATTTAAAAGAGTACTGTTCAGAAAGAAAATTACAATTGAAAAAAAATAAGTGCTACTGAAATTAGCACTTCTGCCCCACCACCACCCCAGCAGGCATGGGGCCCCCACGTGGTTGAGAGGTTTGGGGATAGTAATCTCTGGCCCTGTTGATTATCATAGTTGGTAACTGACAATAAAACTTAGAAAAAGTACAAAAAGTAAAAAACGTTGCTGAAACTATCCCTTTTGGGGCTCTAACCTCATCAGAGGTTCCTGCATAGTACACACCCCACCAGCCATGCAGATACACAATGTATATTATTAGTTGATGACTAACAATGTAACATCAGTTTAAAATTAATAAGAAAAATGGTGGATGGCCATAAAACAGTGCTGGAAAAAAAAAGGCTTAATATTTGACTACTATGAGGAAAACCAAGATGTCAAAGCAAAATTAATAGAAACTATTTGAATTTACTTTGGATAACTAGTTTTGGAGTTTCCTTTTGATTCAACCATTGCCTTGAATGTTGGATCCATTTCTCATCACATGTCACAATGTGTTCAAGGTAAATGTGTTTAAAAATGTTTACCTGATCAAAAAATACAGTCGATAATATCAACCAGGCAGATATATTGTACACTTCTATGTTAATGTATGGTACGTTGGCTTAATATTTGAGTACTCTGAAGAAATTTTTATTATATCCTTTTTAGAACCTTGAAAATATTGGGTAAAATGGGAGGGGGTAGTTCTGATGTCAATGTGAACAGCCCATAAATTTATATAGGAAATTTTAGCTTCGTTTTGTGATAGGAAACATCGATTTGGAAATGTTAAATTTTTTTCTGTGATATTTTAAACTTTAAATCAGCTAAACATCCTCAAAGTTTTAGAAAATTATATTTGATTTTTTTAAAAGATTTTTTTTTAATAAAGAGAATTATGTTGTATAGACAGATATTGTAAAGTTTTATTTTCAATATATCTATATATAAAAAAAAAACAAAAAAACTTTAATACAGGCATAGAGATCTTGGCAAATCATCAAATGGGATCAAATTTATCTCGGTAGCTCAATTAGCTACAAAGTTATGACCATTTAATGTTTGTAAATGTGATATTGGATAAAATGCTAATTTTAAGTGTATAACTGAAAATACAGAATCATATAAGTTAAAAATCATTATATATGTAATGTCATAAAGGTAGTCTTGAAGTAAAAGAAAGATAATGCTAATGGTATCGATAATTCTTAGATCAAACCAGCCTAAACATAAAAATTTTCTTCTCAAAAACAAAATCATAAAAATGACACAGAAGGACTAATTTGACTGATCATATAAGCTTCATTTCAATGGGTAATGCCATGTAACTTCTTCATATTCCTCATAGCACACCAAATTAAGCTTTTTTTTTTTTTTTTCTCCAGTAGTACCTCAATAAAAAAAAAGTTCTTTACACCACACAAAACAGCCAGAAGTGCAATTTGTCAGGCCCAAAACGGGTCAAAAGTATACCATAATGAACTTGCCATAAAAAAAAAAGAAGGTACATGCTTGAAACTTTGAAATGTCACTAATTTTGGGATGAGGTATTCAACAAAACAGCTCTTTTCATTGTAATATCAATACTTTTTGTAATATATGTATCTATATTGTACAATTTTATGCGATTTTCAACTCCTCAAAAACAGGACAGTAATGACCGCAAAACTTAAAAATTTGTTTTACAAAAAAACAAAAAAAAAAGCTTTAAACTCCAGTTCTAAACTGCTAGAAAGGACCTTCTGGACATTGTGAACAGTGATTTTTCCATATTTCCAAAGTTGTCAATCTCATATTGGTGTTTTTCAAATTAGTTGTGCCAGTTTACACATACCAAAAGAGTTCCATCTTAAAGGAAAAAAGAAATTTAGTGGCTGAACCATAAAGTTTAAAGTTGTCTTTCACAAAATATTTCCAAGTTGAAAACTTTGAGTGGATGAAATACCATGGAAATTCAACACTTAAAACAAAACCAAAATGAAATTTACACCTGCTTGTAGAGCAATGTCTCCTCTTTAATCAGTTAATTTCATATCCTTGTACCCACACAACTTGAAGCACACGCCAAGAAGTGGATATATGGCATTCATTTTGTGCAAAGTCAGGTCATACATCAGAATTTGTATTAATGATTCTATGAATACTATGTATCATTAACATTGACAAGTGAATCCAATTTTATATCAAATTTGTTTC